GCAAAAACGAATAAGATATTATCTTCACAGTATGGCGACGACGACTCGAAAGCTTTTTGCTGGAAAAAAATCTCGATCAATATTCGAGGGGAAGGGGGGCCTTTCGCATAATTGGTTGACTGGATATATTTATGCTGCTGATATCGAAATCGGGTCGGCTACGATAAAGACAGGTTGCTATATACAGTCAGAGACTAACAAAAGATTTGGGAGCGTTTACTGTTTTTATGAAGACCCAAATAAGGACCCAGTAATTTTCATGGGTTTCACTTTGTTCGAAGTTGAATGCGTGACTGAGGGCTTGCAATTTGCTTTAAGCAGGAGGTTGTGCTAATCGATAAACCATTACTCCTGTCACAATAATAGCCCTTAAGGGGTCAAATGCTAATATAGCCGTAGCAGATAACCGTCAAAGCCTATCAGTATCTGTTTCAATAGGATAATTAGATTTCCTTGCTTCCAGGAATATAGGATTTGTCTGTGTGATAGATCACATTGGAACGTGACGGATGACATATGGACAGCTAAATTTAAACAGTGACATGTAACAGATCTGTCCCTGGAAAAGACACTAAACTGTCTACTCTGTACATTGAATGTATTAGATTTCATGGTAGAACCTAACTTTTATGATCGATATTATCTGAAAAATAGAACATAGAATTGTCGAGCACAACATTTTTTGAAAATTCTAACCAATTTGATAGATATTCATAATTCAATGGATTTACCGGGTATCGCACGACACTCGGAACACAGAATAGGAAATAGCAATTTTTAAAATGCGCAAATATACCGAATATTGCAATTCTAAAACCTTTGTTTTACAAAATTCGTGACTGGCCATTTAATAACAAATGACACCTGGCAGTCCGTTCCTATGTGGACTGTCAACAAGCAGCCAATCAAAAGCCAAGTTCCTTTGTGTGTCAATCACATACTCACTGCATTTTTGAGGGCCATAACTGACATGAGCGTAGGCACATTGACACCAAAGCAAATTTCGTTCGCAAAAAAGATGTCTAATTCAGAAAATGTTTTTATGAACGTCTCAATAAGAGTGAAAATCGTTTGTCAAGTTCCACTGTTACATAACCATGGAAAACATCAGTCGACGCTTCCAAACAATAACCCAGTAATCGATAAATCAAAATTTTACAGGAGAAAAGATTTACTGATTTTATCAAATACCTTTTCAACGAGTGGGACTATTGAAGTCATTGATGTGTTAAATGAAAGCTATTTTTTTGCGGAATATACCTGTGCCATTAAAATGACATTCCTTTTATTAAATACCTAGTAATTTAGGAAAATAAATAATACCTAAAATTTTATACATAAAATATTATGGTAATAGTACTTACGGGATTATTGCAGTAAATTTATCAAATGAAATATTTCATAACATTATATTATGGACTTCTACGGGGTTTTTTTTTATCGTGGGGCTGATACATAACGTGTTTTTACGGAGTTATTGTGGTAATTTCAAATATTATTTAAATTACCACAATAACTTTGGCTCATTAATGTACGTAATATAAAATATTACGTACATTAATGAGCCAATACCAATCTTCAATAACATTGTTAGTGTGTATTACGGAATACGTATTTTACAATGAATTCAACAAAAACCCCGTACACACGTTTACCTAAATCTTCATGAAAATTATTTACGGCAATAACCCGGTAATCGCAACTTACCAAAATAAAATATAAATTGTTTTTTCGTACAGATGTATAACATGTTTTTTGCCGAGATATTATTGTGTATTAATTCCCAACAATAAACATGTGCGTCATGATATCTTTGTAACTATTATTAGGAAAAATCTGAGAAAAATTGTCAAGGTGTATTCAAGTCCATACGCGCCGAAATTGACATAACAGCATAAACCCGATAATAGCACATTACCGAGTTCTTGGTTGGGAGCGTCGCCTGTATATGGAAAATGCTGGGAAAGCCAAATGTTTATCTCAGTTCTGCGTATGCAATAATTTCCCATCCGATCGTTAATTATTTAACATAAGTACGTAGCGTAGCGTATGGGGATAGCGAAGAACAAATATTGACAAACGAATCGAAAATATATTGGGGATTAGTCTCAAACTGTATAAAATCTCATATCTTTATTGACAGCTGTTGTGTATTAAAGATCTATATTTGCTTATTTATGGAGCAAAAAAGACATTAGGAATTTTAAAGAAGCACCACTCCTTAAAGACCAGTCTATTTTATAACACAAAAAAACTAAACACACTAACTACTCTATACCTACTGTTACTGTTAGGGTATGACGTCACGAGCGCACGTGTTGCTAAAGAATTTTTTCGAGTTACCTGAGTAATTACGGGAACAAAGGGTAGCGCTTTGTCGAGCCCTACATTAAAGTGCCGCTTATAGCAAACAAATTAAATGCAATATACAGTGTTAAATGCGAAGACGAGCCGACGTGTACTCTACTACTTATAATATCAGTTCAAAGGCGGCTGGCCACTCGGTCTTGTGTACGGTAAACAACACGTAAAACATTGATTCCTACAATTCCACACGTCCATGTAACATCGCTACCTCGCACAACTTTGTCTCCTGTTCCACGATTTAAATAAATATTTTCTACTTGTATTTATTTCATACTATCTCATTCATGCACTCAATGTTTGCCGTCTTTATCGGAATCGCAACTCCACTCCGAATGTACCTACAGGCTTCTTTTTGTATAGAACGAAGCGTTGATATAATATTAAAGAAAATTAAGTGCAACATTAATACAGGCTGTTTACATTTGGAAAGTCGGTTCAATGATATATGAAAGTATCCCCTCACGGTCCAATAACAAAAGCGCAATTTATTTTTTAACAATTACCAACATTTTTCGAGTCGAGCGTGAACCGCGAAATACGCTTTTGATCATTCAATCGACATATCTCCTTTCACTTTCGTTCATTAGGTTGAAGTTCGGTTTCACAAAATTCCTGACTTACCTGGCAACATTGATTATACCGGTCAATAATAACGCCACAATTACCATTGCGAGATGTGTAATTTTGAGCTTACAACACGCAATTTCTGTGAAACCAATCATGTTGACATCCTTGTCATGAGGTAAATCACGGGCGTCAGTTCGAAGACATTTTATGATACGCTTACCTTATCATCTGTCCTGCCGAAGAGGGAATATAAATAGTAACAAATTAGTAACACATGATAAAGTTTAGATACTTACCTTGGCTACAACTGTAAGAAATACAAAATTAGAAATTTTGAAGAAATATTGACTTGTATTTCAAATTTTCGAACGTTGGTATACGTTTATCAGTTTATAAATTAAAACAACTCAGTAATACCAGTCGTCAGCCGTCAAAACGAGTGATGATAAAAAAACGGATGATGAAAACGAATAAATAAAATTCAACTTATAAAACACTCGCAATGCAAAATGTTGATAAGTCGATACTGAGCAAAGCGACGCGGTATCGGGACTACATTAAATTCGCATTAGCTTTCAACTACCGGTTTGTTTAAGACTTATTTTATGCGTTTGACACACTTGCGTTCTGGTTTGAGTCACTGCTGTATTGTAACTCACATACTAGCACCTCTGCACACATATGTGCGCGACGTGAACGTCCTAACAAGATAAAATCATCTTTGTGTGTCAATTAAACTTTTGAAAATTACATTTTTCTGACCGTCAATGGATTTAACGAGGTTTAAACGAGCGTTTAAATATTTTTCGAAGCCTTTTTGGTTTAAAAAATGCATTAAAACTAACGATTTTCATTACGCTCACCCAAACAGAGCTATAACGTTTAATTTCATTAAAATATGTTGATTAATCCCAAAATTGTAATGTTATTCACGCCTATAGGAATCGTCAGTCGGATTTTAGTGAAGTTTTAGAACTTCATTTTAATAAACGAACGATTAAAGTTTAACATTTGAGACTAATGGCAACTTTACACTGCTTATGTACTTTGATTGATAATAATAAAATTCAGAAACCTTTTCTAATGTCTTCACCTTATTTAAATAATATAATTTTATTTGTTCATCTAATAAATAACACAAATTTATTTGAGACATCGAAGCACGTTTCATGTTCTCGTTCCATATATTTTGAAATGGATTAGTGTTGTGCATTTTTAGTGGCTTACGAGAAATAATTAGGAAATTAATTATGGTGCTTAACGGGTCGGGTTTGTTTGCATAGATTTTAAAGAAAGTTCCATCCAACATCGGAACGTTTGTAAATGTAAAAGTGAACATTCCGAGTCAGGTGTCTTATCTCGAATATTGGTTGTAATCATACTCAAGCATATTCTAACGTCTTGATCAGTATGCTAATGAGGCGGCTACCTACGCGTGAAATAACACCTCTCGATTTGTAAAGTACCGAATATAAAATCGATACTATATTACCGATACTATCGATTACGCTTTACATGTTGAATAATTTTGAAAAGTGTTGTTTGTTTAAGTTGATATTTTGATTATGTAACGTTATTATCGACTTTTTTATATTTTAGGAGGTAACACAAGTGTATCAAAAAACATAAAATAAAATCTTTGAAATGACCTTTAACCAAGTTTTGGTTTCAAATAGACCGGAATGGCATAATGGAAAAAACAAAAATTAACGGTAAATCAATTTAAAACAGTCGTCTGAGCCACAACACATTGAAATTATAAGAAAATAAATACATTTTAAAACTTTCTTTCAACAACATACAGATACTCGTTGACTTTCGACCTGGTAGCACTGACCAATCATGGCTAATGTTATATCTTGTATGATACGAATGTACCTACTAAACCTACCACCTACTAATCTTTGAGATTTTAAATTTTATTTGAATTTCAACTTTAAGATTTTAAATTAAAGTCGAAAATCTATCGATGACATGTCACGATGTATGGAGTAATGATGCTGGCGTCAGTACTGCATAGAGTTGAAAGAATGAGCAGCAAAAGTGTTATTAGAAACGTATATTACCTGCAAAACTCGTTTGGGCAGGCCTGTCTTCTGACTCAGTTGCTTCAGATCTTTAGCGTCTGGATTGTGGTTGATCGCGAAATATGACTTCATTGTTCTTAGCTGGTGATGTTTAAAGCTGGTACGCATGCGCTTGGTGCGCGACGATGAGCCCAGTCCAGCACCGCCCCGGAACCCGAGTTCCAGGTACTCCGGATTGAGATCTGATTAACCAACAGTTACACTGCTAAATACCAAATTTGTGCACTAAGTCACTTTATATAAGGTTCATATTTAATCTATTTACCTAAGTGAACCGTAAATAGATTTTTCTCCTCCAAAACATATTGAAAAGGAATCATTTGAAATTCAAAAACTTGCCAACAGGGATAGTTAAACAAGGAACAACAGTTCGTTGTTTAAATTTCTCTGTGGACATAGATAATGTTAGCACACAAATAAATAGCTTTAGCTGTCAACACATTGAAAAAGAAACAAAATTATTAACATCATTAAAGTCGTTCGCATCGCATCATTCGCAAAACAAAAGTTGCATCTACATTACAGTTATGTTAGTGTAGCAGAAAAACTCGATCGGCAACTATCAATATAAATACGAAAATATCGTAATTTGTTTTTATATCTGCTCAGTGCATGATAATGCCAATATTTACATGTTTATATTTAATTATGTTAATTGTTATTGTCTGTATTACGGTCGTAAACGGCTATAAAGATAATTTTGTATGGAAAACGTATATTATGTACATACAATACATTTTTGTGTTTCAAACATTAACGCAATGTTTGTGTTTTCATAAGCGCATTCGACTGGAATTGGCTCGGTGACAATATACGCACTCTTTAATTAAATAGTCATCTCCTACTTGCTAACGCTTTTCATTCTTACAACCTTTTTTTTTAGATAATCTAAAAAGAACATCCGTGGTAGGTATACAAGACTCAAACGATATGACACTCGTTACAAAATTTACCAACAATCAACCATTATTTTTCACGAACTCTACCTTCACTTTATAACAATCTACGTCAAAACTACTTGGATAGTTTTATATATCTGAAATCCAACTAGAAACACAGGTGAAAGGCATTGTTACACTAAACAACTTGACACAAGGGGCCTAAAGGACGAGAAAACAGAACAAAATGTCGAAAATATTCCAACTGCAACCAAACGCGGCGAAACTCAAACAAAGGACGTAAAAATCAAAGAATCGTCAATCATTAGCGTCGTGCTAGTCCACCATGTTATTTCATAAAACGCGGACGCCCTTAATTTTCTAAAAATAATACAAATGTCGTCGAACTAAAAAACCTTTGAGCTGCTCAAACAACCTTTGAGCTTCGCCATAGGAGCGTGACCTAAGCGAAATTTTGTTTTTATTTCGTTCTATGATTGAAAGCTTCTGAGAGAGAGAGGGTTCTCTCAATATTTTAACACTTGCATGAAAAATCCAATTTTCATTGAAATTGGAAATGTATCAAAAAACGAACGCATATATAAATCTAGAACTTCAATTTGCGCGGTCTTTCAAGTCCGGCGTCAAAACGGGTCCGCTCAAAATCCGCACGCATGGCAGACCTACAGTCATAAATCGATCGTAACACGCACGCCGCATTGTTTTCCGTTACAATACGAACCGTGACGTCCCCGTGACGGAGTCGGCACGGTGCCGCGACTTCGTTTTAACGACCGATAAATGCTGCTAATAAATAAACCGAAACTTACTGCGATGTTTACAGAAACGCTTTGAGATTTGCGGTTAAGGGTATCGGACAGCGCGGCACTGGCTGGAAACCAGTATTAGCCCAACAATCGCGGATTTGGCAATACATTAAGTATAATTGTCGCAGAATTGCGACGAGCGATAGTGGTAACCGTTGTGATTGATACTGAATAATTTAATTTGTAAACTAGCAACTCGGATGTCAGTTTGTACATAATCTTATCCGACCGAGTTACGGTATTTTGCGAGCGTGTTTCTCCATCGTATATCGATACATTTTGTTTTTCGTCAACTTTGATACCGAACTGACAAGTGACAATTAGTCAAGAATTCCTGTGAACGCTCCAAATAACCTTTGTATAATCACTTTTGAAGTGAACGACGAGCTAGCTGTTGGGAGTCTAACAAAGAATGTTCAACCTACAGAGGATCAATTTCATTTCAGAATGGTAAAACATTAAGTATTGCAAAAAAAAGTAATGTCCTCCTATGAACATTTTTGACTATGATTATTATGCTTTATAAAAAAGAACAGATTATTGTGTAGAATGGTACTTTTATTAGACGTGCTGTCATTTTGCAAGCCGAATGTTGAGAGGGTGAGAATCTTGTATTGGTATGTAGTCCATTCAGCGTATTTATTAATTAACAGAGACTTGTTCAAAGGCTTTTGTTATAACATTGCATATTTTTATCTCGGAATAGAAAATGAAGATACGAAGAAATCCAGTTATTTGATGGTTAAAGAAAAAGAGGTTAATAATGAATAGAAAATTAATGAAAAACTACACTCTTTGATTTAACATCATCTATTCTTTAATAAAAGCTTATAGAAATAATTACTGTTGAAGTTTTTATATCTAAGCAATCTGGCTGTAATATGAAAAAATCATTTATTAATCTTTTATTCTACTTTGAAGAAATTATACTTTTAATCCTACATTTTCTAGGTATTTTGAAATTGAAGACTGAATTATACCTGTAATCAGGTTTATATGCGCCCTGGTATTCAATATTCAATCGTATAAGTTTATTAATTTTTCTAGGAATCTTAGTATTTTTCTCAAATTTATTTAGTATTGAGATTTCTAGTGATATGAGTTTTTAATCGAGACTTTAATACTACCAATAAATTTAAATTAAGTTTGCAATATTTGTGTGCTAATTTGTATTGGTTATCGAGCTGTGCTGTGATTCGCTACGTCCGTAGTTTTTTGGTGTAAATAATTTTTCTTTAAGTTTTCAACTCATTTTTATAATTGTAGTTTTCCGTAATGAAGAGACCGTGCTATCTTCTATCTATCTGAAGATCTAGAACCAACTGATTAATTAGTAGATTAGTTTGTTTTTAAGTTGGTTTTGGTGCAAAAAGATTTTTTCTACACAAGTCTAACTCGCTCGAGGTTCGAATATAACGAAATTTCTTTTCCGTCTTCGTTTATACAAAAGTTTTTATTATTCTCGTTTCATAATTAATTATTTAGATAGTTTTTCTTCTTTAATGGATATTTTAATGAACACCTTTTTAAGTTTATCATCTCTAATTTTATCTATTTTTTTTTATTTTTTTTATGCATTTCTTTATTATACTAATAACATAAACTCCTCTCCTGTACAAAATGACTAATCCTTAGCCAACGAGAAGCAAGCAAAAATGGGGTAAACGATCGATTTCTAAAAAGAGTGAAAATAATAATCATTAAAAAGTTAACTTACTATAATTACCGAAAAATAATATTTCATTGAACGACCATGCGACGTTTATCTGCATGGCCAGTACGAAAACACGTACTTCCAACCGTCATTTACATTCAAATATCGAATGACATTCTGACTTTAATACTTCGAAATTCAAAATTGACAATTTATTTATTTTTAACCGCAAGTGTGCGTTCCAAAGTCGGAACAATTAGCGTGTAAGTAATTATGCGGGGGCCCGTAGCCGCGACATAATGGGCGCGACCGATACGTAAAACGAACCGCGTATTCGAATGCACCGGTGCAGTTTTCGATTTCTTAAAATGCAAACTGTTATAGTCAGAGCCAAATAAATATTGTAACGTTATTTTCACGGGTTCCTAAACATTTTAAGCACGATTTGAGGTTAATAGAGTATTTACTTTTACAGATAATGTAGAACTATTCTTAACAATGTTTTCTTCATCTATGAACCAATATTATTTACTAATAAAAATGCAGGCTACATTTAAATTCCTGCTTACCCTGCAACGCGTAAGAAGCGCGAACATAAAAACACACAATTCACACTGATCGTGCGATGCGCAGCGTTGACGCCCGTCCTGTGTTTGTTCGACATGATTTACTCCACAACCACTGATAACTCCCACCAAACAAAGAAGACCTCTTTAAAACTATGTCAACACCCTTCTTCACCATAAATGTGTTTTAACAAGGGGAGTGAGGAAGGTCAAAGTATGCTGGTTGGTCCAACGCAGCCTGAGGCGTTCGTGCTCCAAGTTGATGATACGGTCTCCGCAAACAGAAAGTGAGACATGCAATTTTTTTAAGTCTTCAGATGTTAGGGAAACGGTATAATAATTTAAGAACTAAAATCTACACGTTTTACCCATATTAAACTTAGAAACGAGATAATTAAAATGGAAGCGTCTCTTGACAAGAGTACAAATGATATTACGTCCGGAAAACATTTTCAGAATAATTATATTTTTTTTTAATTGTAGTAAGGAAGGTAATTAATTTTCCTAGAGTAAACAGCAGTCATTTAATAGTTGCACGGCGGCATCTCTCAAAGCTCAGATGGCGTGTTAAGGTTAAACATGAACAGTAACGTGTCGGGTTAACAATTGTGTATTATAATGACGGGTTCTCAACCACTCACTACCAGACCAGGACCATAATAACACACGCAATTTTTAAGCCCCGCGTAATGTTAGTAATTGCTACCAAAACGACCCGTCTAGAAAACAATACTAACAAAAAAGAAAACTTCAAATAAAAGAAACATTTTCACTTCTGCAAATAACTTAAGAAAACAAAAAATATCATCCACATTTTAAAACAATAACGATCTGAACCCATAAATCTGACCAATCACAAAACGGATCTAGTGATGTACCTACCATCTGACACGTCAACTATCGATAAACATCGACACAAAACGTCGCGTCTTGAAAGAAGACGTTATTAATAGATTGAGACACAAAATTGTGAAGATAACGCAGGTCGAAAAAAAAAACAAAAAAAATACCGGGTGGGTTATAAAAAGAATTGTGATATCATAAATCGTACGTACCATTCATGTTTTTAAGGCCGAAAAAAAAAAGGAGATTTCCTTAACGATAACACTTCGTCCGGTGGCCACATTTTTTTTTGTAATAGCAAAAACGAAACGCCGAAGTGGTTGACCGCGGTAATAAAGCTAATAGGTATGTTTCTTTATGACAGAACCATTGTTTTTATTAATTCGGCTCTGTAACTATGAAATTGAATAATAA